GAGTAAAATTGCTAGATTATATGGTAGATCTAGTTTTAGTATTTTGAAAAAACTCTATACCGGTGTCAGTGGAGACTGAATCAATTTACAGTCTTAAAACAGTGAATGAAGGTTCCTTTTTCTCTGTTGAATCACAGGTTGTTCCTGGCCTTTTTGATTATGTTAGTCCCACAGGTAGGATGTGATATTTCATTGGAGTTTTGATTTGCAATTCTTTATTAGCAGTGATAGTGAGCTTTATTTTTTCATGTGCTAGGTGGCCATCTGTATGTCTTCTTTGGATAAGTGTCATCTTCCCATTTTTTTTTTAATGGGGTTGATTGTTTTTATTGTTGTTGAGTTTTGTGACTTACCATGCCTATTAAATAGAATTTTATTATACTTAACTTTTAAAACAACTAAAATTTTCTACATTATATGTACAGTCTATCTTTTTTCCTCCAAATGTGTCAACAGTTCTCTTACTGAATAACTTTTTCCTCCACAGAAAAGCCATTTTTATCACCACAAAAGTGAGAAGCATTTCTAGACTTTTCTCTTCACTGATCTACTTATTCTTGGACTTATCTGACTCTAGTAACTCTAACTTGGGAAAAAATTTTCATATCTTCTGGGACTCATTCCAACTTATATTTTTCCCCCTGAATATTGCTTGGCTACTTGCCTTTTTTTTTCCACAACAAACTTTAAAAAACTTTCCTTCAAGTTCCTAAAAAGTTCTACTGCAGGCTTGATATAAATTACTTTGAATTTCTAGAGTATGAAGAAATCATTACATGAATCTGACCAAGAAGTTTTTTTGAGCATTCCTTTCTGTCTCCCAAGAGAATGTTATCATTTCCTTTTGAAAAGTTATGTACATTTCTTTTTAAATTTAATCACCTGTATTTCACTGCATTTTAAATTAGAAGTGGTAGCACTGCTACTGCAAATGAGATCTTTTCCAATTGTATATTTGAACTGACCTACATTAATTTTTATGTATTTATTAACCAATTACCTCCCTACACTCATTAAGTTTTTCTATTTGTTCTCTCATACTACTGAGGTTTTTAATAGTATAATGAAAATTCCTTTCTAATATTTCCTTAAGTATTTCTTTTCTCTAGTATTTCCTTTCTAATATACAATTATATCATTTCCAAAACATTCTATGTCTTATTACTAGTTTTCATTAATTTGCATAGAAAAGTAATAAATACAATCAGTGAATAACTTTAACTGTTTTGATTATGTCAGAAAAGTTTTCTTTTATTGTTCTTTGTTTTTCCTGTTTCTTTTTTCTTGAGTGTCACACATAAAATTCAAAAACTGCATTTCTTTTTCAATAAACCCTTTGTGCTTTCATTACTCTTTTTTCTCATCCTCTTTTTACTCTATAATTTTGACGATTTATCAAATTTGGTACCATAGGACCAGTGAAGTTAGCTGTGAAATCAGCTCTGTAGCTCAGATTTTACATTTGGTTTTCACATATTTCAGGATACTTCCCCTTCCGTTCCTCCCCTTTAGCACAACCTATTCTTTCCTTATAGCTAATAAAAATGAAAGGTTAACTATTTAAGCAATTCTTTTGTGCAAGACAAAGTGCTCAGAACTCATTGGCATTATTTTATTTAAATCTTCAATCCAAGGCAAATATTACTTTCATGTCACATGGGAAACCTCTGATACTCTAAACAGTTAGTTAATATGCTCAGAACTTCACAACTGGTTAGCAGTACAGCCAGGATTTAAGGCTGGCTGGCCCCAGCCTCCATAACCCTTGCTTTTGACTAATAATACTAGAGGGCTCCTTTTGCCCAGGCCCTCCTCCAGGGCAAATGAAGTGCTGTACCTTTCAGAACTATACTTTGAATAAGGTGGCCTTCTAAGTACTCATACCAATTTCATTGTCTGCTGGACGAAGGCATGAGAAATCTCTGCCCTAAAACTTAGATAATATGTCTTTGCTAGACACTAGACAAACGTTATTTGCACAAAAGTTGTACATGCACCAGCATTTGCTTAGCTCCAGATTTCCTCCATGGCCTATCCATTTGTCAGTTTTTCTCTGTGGTAACTGTATATCCAGAGATTAAAGAGTCCCTACTCTCTCCTAAGCTTGCAGTTGCACCATAAGTTGGAAACCACAATGTCTAAAATTTGCAAGAAAAAGCAAGAGACTGAGGATTACTGAGAAATGGGTCAGGACATCTAGCATGTTCAGATTTTTAGGCAATTAGGTGCCTGATTTTCCAGGCAATGTAGCTTCCGTATCTTAAGCTAGAAGTGGTGACTAAGTTAAGGTTTTTTCAAAACTCCTTTGCAACTAATTTGGGTCAATGAATCAGATGACTGACATTAAAGTTAGTGAAAATTCCCAGTGGGTTTGGCACAGGGTTTTTGCTTATCTTCAGTTTGCAGTACTGTTCATGTCTTTGCGGATATTTTTACATAAAGCTGAGAAAGGATAAATCAGAGACTGTTAATCTCTGGCCATATTTAACACATGTTTAATGAGCTTCTCGATCGTGAAATGGGGTTAGGATTTAGGCTGCTTCTTAAAGAATGTCATCAGTGTCCCCATCAGTACCTTAGCAGGCACTGACAAGAGACCAAAGTAAATCTCAACTTCTTTCTGTAAAATTTCTTAGATTCTTGCTTTGAATGTAAGAAGTTTCCACAATATGAGCAATTCCTGAAACGCTGTGTGCTGTGTACTAGAAAAATTGTCATAAGACAATTTTCAAATGACACTTTTGAAAAATTGCTCTTCTGAAAAATGGCAACATTGAAAAGAGAATTAAGAATTGAGCTGAGGTGTTTTCCTGTCAGCAAGAGGCTGAGAGAGTCAGGTCAAAGTGACCCAATAGGTTTTACTGTTCTTGGGAGCTTCCTTGTGTAGGAAAAAAAAAAGCTCTTTATACTGTGAATTGTGATGCCCCTTGGCACACAGGAAATTTCTGGACTCAATAAAGCTGAGCTAAGGACATTATAAAATGCTTTTCGATTTTTTTCTTTTCAAAAGCATCCAAGTTATTGTGTATATGTCTAAAGCTATTATGGACACAGGCAACTAACACTTTTACTGAAAATATTAAATGTGTAATTGGAAATCCCAGGCTGCACTAAGTGTTCCATCTCTTCCCTGTCCCACTTCATCCCTTGTTTGTTCGTGTAGTCATGATGCTCTACTCATGTGCTAACAAATAATCATCAGTTGGCTTTAGGTAGATTATCCTCAATAAAGTATGTGGGCCTCATTCAATAAGTCCAAATCCATTAAGAACAAAACCAAAGCTTTCCAGAGAAAAAACATCTACCTATAAAAACCCTGCTAGTCTGTCTTACTGATTTAACTTGTCAGCCCCACAATTGGAAAAAAGTTTCTTGAGACTAGTCACTTTACTTATGCATACCAACTTTGCTTGGCTCATACTTATCTTTCAACAGTAAGTTCAAGGGTATGGACTATTTCTTATATGTCATTGTACCCTTTAAATCAATCACACTGCTTTCTCTCAATCCAGTACTCAGTATGGCAAGAAGATAGCTCAAAAGAATGGAAAGCATATATTGCATGCACGAAGCCATGGGTTCGGTCCCTGATATTGTATGGATTATTACCATGTGGGTTGTAGGTGCTGCTAAAAAGAACACTGCATAAATATTTGAACAAATGGATGAATAGAATTATCCCTTCACAAAAGACTGTCACCAAATGAATAAGGTAATAATGATTAATAAGAACAGAACTACAGGAATCATTGGCAAAATGAGCCTGAAAATAAGCAGTTCACCCCCTAAAGTAGCTGGAAGTACTACTTTTTTAACGGCGCCAAAATTGGAAAATTTAAATTTAGTTTATATAATAAAAGCAAACAAAAAAATGTCAGTTGAGGTTGAGCCTTCTGATCAGATGCTCTTTGGCATGTCATTTCACTGTATTAGTTCAAGGTGGTTAGCATAGTTTAGGTTAGGCAGATGTGATTCAAAGTGAAAAAATGGGAACCAAAATTCAGGTAATTGATATGTGAAACTATGCTTACTGATTTTAGAGAATATTTTCCACTTTTTAATCAGGGACAGCCACTGTGGTCCTTAGCTATCTGTACCACCATGCAACAAATTCTGTTGGTTGAAAGTTGGGAACAGAATGATAGAACTACAAAGAGATTCGGGGCTTGAGCAATAGCACAATGGGTAGGGTGTTTGCCTTGCACATGGCCGACCTGAGTTTGATTCCCAGCATCCCATATTGTCCCCCGAGCACCGCCAGGAGTAATTCTTGAGTGTATGAGCAAGGAGTAACCCCTGTGCATCGCTGGTTGTGACGCAAAAAAAAAAAAATTACAAAGAGATTCAATTAGGAAACATTTAATGCTATATAATCTCAAACATGGCGGTAACTTTGCCTTTGAAATTAACTGAACTGTACATATGGGTTGTGAAATATTTAGTCATCAGTATGCTTTAGCTCAATCTATAGGTGAGGCAGATGTGCAAATAGATCAAGCTTTTACATAATATTCTTTTATCATTTTGTAGGGGAAGGAAACCTCCATTTTAGGATGTATATAAAGTGCTAGTCTACATTCAAGACATTGCCTTTTAAACACCTTCAGGAAGACTAGTGTGCAAAAGCATTGAGAAACTTGGAAATTGTTTATAGTACAACACTTTGGCCATGCCACAGATACCAAGAAATCGGTGACACACTTCTATCACACAACCTAGCAAGGCTTTCTGTTTATTATCAAAGCAGAGTTCTAGGTTCAGACTTGAAACTATGATTCAACAGAATGCAACAACAGATAGGAGACAATGTGCATATGAAAAAAATAAAGAACAAAAACAGCAACCAAACCTCTATTCCTTAGATACAGTATTAGTGGCAAGATTTCTACATAATCATTCCTTCATTTAGCTTGGATGAGGATTTCCAGCACAGAACACTGATTGAAGTGACCATTAGAAGTGACATAAATGTGAAGGAAGGCAAGTAATACACACAGACAAACCAGGTAAACACAGTGTTTAATTTCCCGAGAAACTGACTATAGGTAATCATGTAATGAAACAAAAACAGATCATTCTTAAGATGCCAAATGCTTTATTTTTTTGCACAAACTGGTAAGTATCTATATATTTATATACTCAGGATCAAAACATGTGTGCCATTAATACTCAACTATAAACAGAATGAAAAGTTCTAACATATGAAAATTTTGAAAACCAAACAAATTTCTCTGTGCATAGAAATCTCTTGCTCTGCTAAGAGATTTCTAGAGTCAAATAAAAATTGTTTGGAAAAGGAATCCATATTTTTCCAGGAAACCCTAGGAGTTCAATACAACACTGCACTAATAGGATACTATAAAACCCTTGTAAGAAGCAGCTCTGAAAAAGTGATTTTATATTATTTTGAATTACCATGTTTTAGTCAAAGGGATGAAACTAATGATCATGTATCAGTGAGGAATTTCTGAGATGCATCCCTATGGCAAAAGATCACTAATATTCCTTCTACTGCTAAACAGAAGACATAAAAAATATTGCCAGCTATAAACTGCATTGCACCCCAATGCCTATTATCTCTAAGAACAAATTTTGTTTTTAATATAAAAATACAATGAATCAAACGGATGCTAATAAACGCTAGTAAATCAAGGCTGAGAAATCTAAAATTAATGTGAGATACAGAAGAATATCATTTACTCTAAGAGAAGAATAACTTTTCCAGTGGCCCCACTGCTATGAATGATATCTTCATGAGCCTGGGCCACCTTTTCCAGTGGATACTGAGAACCTATTACAGGTCTCAGCCAACCAATTTCCATTCCAGCTTGAAGGGCTGCTGCAAACTGCTTAAATTCCTCCTAAGTGAAAGAAAAACAGTTGGGTTTTTTGGAGGTAGAGAAATGTATAACTTAATTTCCAGCAGTTTTAAACAGACTCAAAATCTAAGAGTTGTAACACAGATTCTTATTATACCTAGCTTTTCCCAACTTATTCACATCTGCAGAAAAAAAGTAACTCTTTATGGAATAACACATATGTCCTAATTTTTCTAGTAGTCACAATTTACAAACTGTCCTGAATTAGGAGCCAGAGAAACAGTCCAACAGGGAACAGGTATGGGACTTGCCTTACACACAGGAAACCCAGGTTTGATCCCCGGCATCCCAGGTAATCCCCTGAGCACTGCCAGGGGTGATTCCTGAGTGAAGAGCCAGGAGTAAGCCCTGAGGTAGGCCAGGGGTGGGCAAAAACAAACAAGCAAACAACAACAAAAAAAAACCCAAATTTTCCTTAATTATAAACTTTTTGTACCTCCTTTTTCTCTCAAAAGTGTCTTGAGTAGGAAAACATATAATATTGTCCTTAATTAGCTGTTACGGATTAATCTTTTAATCCAATATCTTGTATTCTATACCATGAGGCAAGAGTACCTACATTTAAGTCACCAAAATAAAAATATTTACTTACCTTGGTTGATGAGTAGAGAGCAACTCCTATTATACTAGATTCTTTGGTCATGGTGTCCCGAGGATTTATTTCAATAGTACCTCTGTTGCCAACAATCTAATATTAAAAAGAAGTTCATAAATGTCTGTTTTTTTTATATCTATAGTTAAAGATTACTGAAAAAGTGTTATAATTTCAAATGGATTAAGAGGAAAATAAGAATACTTACTATTACTCGTCCTCCATATGACAGAAGACTTAAATCCTTACTGAGATTTTTATTAGCTAACATTTCAATAATCACATCAATTCCTTTCTCACCAACAGATTTCTACAAAATATAAAAGAGTACAGAGTAAGGCGCCGTGTTAAAAAATGCAAACTATTATATATTTTAGAAATGTGTATTATATCCTAGGAATGCCTAGTGTATTATAGAATTGTATTCTAAATAACATAAAATGATATATTTCAAGACTAAAAATGTAAATTGTAGGTGATATAAAAACATAAATTTTAGGTGATATAGTATACAACTATATGTGCAGTTTCAACATACCAGCCACAAAACCTAAAGTGGTGAAGATTTTTTACTAAGTGAATTGCTTTAAATACATAAAATTTTTCCAGAATTACCAGGTTCTTAAAGTCAACTATAAAATACTTTTTTCCTTGGTTGAATATATGTGTGTGTGTGTATATATATATATATATATATTATATATGTGTGTGTGTTTTTAAAGTGTATATTCATAAGAAAGCAAACAACAAAACAAAAATCTAAAACCCCAATGGGTGTTCTATTTTTATTAAAAAACAAAGTTACTGGTAGCACTTTCGTGTGAGTTTTCTAAATGGTTTACACTAAGTTTGGCATTATGAATATAGTGAAGGGGGACAGGGATAACCAGATGATCCAGATGATCAGCAATGTCTAAGCGGCTGATGACACGGAGAGATGAAACTGAAGGCAAACAGTGTGGAAACTGCTGAAGCCATGAATATGGAAAAAACCTGAGTGCCTAAGAACAGATGACTGGTTAAAGAAACTCTGGTACATTTACACAATGGAGTACTATGTAGCTGTTAGAAAAGATGAAGTCATGAAATTCACATACAAATGGTACTACATGGAAAGTATCATGTTAAGTGAAATGAGTCAGAAAGAAAGGGATAGACATAGAAAGATTGCATTCATCTGGGGAACATAAAGTAACAAAATCGGAGACTAACACCCAGGAGTGGCCGAGATTAGTACCAGGAATTTTGCTCCATGACTTGGAGGCCAGCCACATGTGCTAGGGGAAAAGGAAGCTCAGACAGAGAAGGGAGCACCAAATAAAGGTGCTGGGAGGATCCTCCCAGGATGGGAGAAGCATGCTGAAAGTAGACTATAGACCAAACATGATTGCCACTCAATGCCTCTCTTGCAAACCTCAGGACCCAAAAGGAGAGAGAGGGAGAACAAAAGGGAATGCCCTGCCACAGAGGCAGGGTGGGATAGGGGGACGGGGGGGGGGGGGGGGTGGGAGGGATGCTGGGACCCGTGGTGGTGGAGGATGGGCACTGGTGGAGGGATGGGTACTTGGTCATTGTATAACTGAAACCCAAGCACAAAAATTTGTAAGTCTATAACTGTACCTCATGGTGTTTCACTAATAATAAAAAAAAAAGAATGCAAGTAAGAGCAGTCACTATGGAAAATAGTATGGAGTTTCCTCAAAGACCAAAGAGCAAATGAAAACAGATTTATTATATGTGCGATCCAAAAATTTCACTTCTGGTATTGATTTATATGAAGAAAATGCTAACTCAAAAAGATATATACACTACTTTCCGCATGCTTCTCCCATCCTGGGAGGATCCTCCCAACACCTTTATTTGGTGTTCCCTTCTTTATCTGAGCTCCCTTTTCCCCTGGTATGTGTGGTTAGCCTCCAAGTCATGGAGCAAAATTCCTGGTACTAATCTCGGCCACTCCTGGGTGTTAGTCTCCGATTTTGTTACTTTATGTTCCCCAGATGAATGCAATCTCTCTATGTCTATCCCTTTCTTTCTGAGTCATTTCGCTTAACATGATACTTTCCATGTAGTACCACTTGTATGTAAATTTCGTGACTTTGTCTTTTCTAACAGCTACATAGTACTCCATTGTGTAAATGTACCAAAGTTTCTTTAACCAGTCATCTGTTCTCGGGATTGTCACCCACTGCCTCTTTTGCAAACCACAACACCCAATAAGAGAGAGAGAACAAAAGGGAATGCCCTGCCACAGAGGCAGGGTGGGATGGGAGGGATGGGGGTGGGAGGGATACTGGGATTCGTGGTGGTGGGAAATGGGCACCGGTAGAGGGATGGGTATTTGATCATTGTATAATTGAAACCCAAGCACAAAAATGTGTAAGTCTGCAACTGTACCTCATGATGTCTCACTATTAAAAATTTTTTAATAAAAAAAATTAAAAAAAGATATATACGTCCTTATGTTCATTATTGGCCGACCCGAGTTCGATTCCTCCGCCCCTCTCGGAGAGCCCGGCAAGCTACCGAGAGTATTCGATATGCCAGACACAGTAACAACAAAGTCTCCAATGGAGACGTTACTGGGCCCGCTCGAGCAAATCGATGATCAACGGGAGGGCCTTTACTTACTTACTTTACTTATGTTCATTATAGTACTATTTACAACAGCCAACATAGAAAAGCAGTGGAGGTATTCATCATTGTGATACACACACAAGTATAAAATAAAATGGGATCCTTTCAGTCTACAATAACATGGATGGACTTTGAGGCCACAATTCTATATAAAATTATTCAGAAAGAGACAAACACGTAAGATCTTACTTAGAGATCCAAGAGAGTGATGGGAAAACATAAAGAGCTCATAAATACAGAGAACATATTGGTGGTTTCAGAGACAGAGGGTGATGAGGGTAGGGTAGGCAAAATGGCAGAAGGGGATTGAAAAAGGACAAATGCTCAAGTATAAAATATATAGATTTGAAAGGTATGAATAGAGGAAATCTTAAAAATTGATATGACAAGGAAAATATCTGTTAACTATGCAAAAAAATCCTTTTAAACATACTTAGGAATAAAACTACGTATAGGCATAAAAAGACAAAAGCAAAGCACTTTAAGAACTTGATGAAAGAACTTAAAAAAAACATGAAAGTCTCACAAAAGACAAAATTCCTGCATTTATACAACTGTAGAACAATCTTACTTTAATTGCATCAATATAATTATCTTCTCTGTGATTAAACACTTCATGGGCTCCATTTTTCAAAACAATGTTTTGTCCTTCCTCAGTACCAGCAGTGCCCAAAACAGTTAAGCCATAAGCTCTAGCAATCTGACATGAGGCAAGTCCGACCTGGAAAACAAAATACAATCTAGTAGTTTTAGATTCTGTACATTCCAGCAAATATTAATTATATATACACACACATCTATATACACACATGCACATATATATTTATGTGTGTACATATAGTGTATATGTACATATAAATGTATATATACATTATACACACATGTATGTATATAAAATGAACTCTTTTCTTCTAGGTCTTCCCAGATTGCTATGGAACTTCAAGTCTAAATGATGCAGCAAGAACAATAGCTAACTTTTCTTGGATACTTACAATGTGCAAGATAACACTTCTGTGCACTGCCTTATTTTCTCATCACAATAAATCTGAACATGCTGAGATATTTTCAAACAAACACACCTAAAGATATTAGATAATCAGTTGGGTTTTGGGAAAGATTTGAAAGAATTCAGACTTAGAAAAATAAATTTAAATGAACAGTCTATTCATCAATTTATAGGTAGTATTAAAAGTCAGATTAAAGAAAATCACTAGACAACCAGACTCTATGTCTAAGTAAAAAATAAAACTAAGTTAGAAATGTTAATAAAAGCAAATTAAAATACCAATACCAGAAAATATATATTTGATTTTATGTCAAATGAGTGGAATAATACGTAAAGATATGAGTCATATGTATTTGGAGTACGGTTCTACAAACTTGGTATTATGATACTTGGGGCTGGATAATTCCTTTTTTCTAGGGGCTTTCACATGCATTGAAGGGAGTAAAGAAGGATTTCAGACTTCTACCCACTAAAAATCAGAGCCCCTTTATCCAGTGGTGAGAAACAGAAATGTTCCAAGACACTACAAATGTTCCTGGGTGGGGATAGGGGCATGATGATGTAAAATCACTCCTTTACTAAAAACACTGATTTAAAGGAAAGCAAAATCATTATGGATGAGGCAAAATAATTAAAATAAAAAATAGTGAAAGAAACTAATTTAAAAAATGACAGAATTGGATACTTGGACCTAAAAATTGCTTAAAAACTATAATGGAATACGTGAGTGATGAACCTAAACAAAGTTGGGTTATGAAAGAATTTGTATGATCTGTTCAAAATAGGGCTGGAGCAATAGCACAGCGGGTAGGGCGTTTGCCCTGTATGCAGCCCACCCGGGTTCGATTCCTCCGCCCCTCTTGGAGAGCCTTGCAAGCTACCTAGACTGTCTTGCCCAAACAGCAAAGCCTGGCGAGCTATCCGTGATGTATTCAATGTGCCAAAAACAGTAACAACAAGTCTCGCAATTTGTTGTGAGACGTTACTGGTGCCCTTTCGAGCAAATCGATGAATAACGGGAGGACAGTGGGCAGTGCTACAGTGTCCAAAATAAACAATGAAACACTTAAGTCACTGATGAGTGAGTGGGACATTCAGTCTCCTGAAATAAAATACACTGTGGGTTAATGTGACTGATTTTGCTGCTTTAATTTTCAATTAAAGTAATAGACATATAATAAAACCACATTTTAAAAATAAAAAATTTCATGAAAATACATTTTATACTTTACTTAGTATTCTAAACACACTCGGTACTCTTGTCAACAGTTGTATTAGCGATACTCTTTCAACAGCAAATACCAGTATGTGTCAACAATTTTCCTTCTGTGTATTTTGCTGACAGTAAAACCGGGCATTCCCACCAACATTCTGGATAATAGCTATGTTCATAAACTCCACAGCATTTTAAATATCCGGCACAGTCCCAAAGGAATGGAATTAAATGAGGACAGAAAGTACAAACAGAAGCAAGACAAAACCCAGCACAGCCTCCCTCTGACAGGGCAGGGAGGATCAGAAGCCTTCACACCAGGCTGCCAGCCTGTCCCTGCCAGCCAAGGATTTAACAAACTTAGTCAGCTCTGGGAACAGTGTGGATTTTGCCTTGGGGGAAAAAAATCATGGTGAAGTGACTGGGCTTTTTATAAGAAGGTAAAGGGAATAAAAAGCTTTTCTTTAAACTCTTTTTCTTCCTACTGAAAATCTCTCTTTTCTATATACAGCACGAGGTGAACTCTGAAAACCAAAGCAATTTAAATAAATGCAAGCATCTGACAGATCCTCTAGCAATTGGGAGGGTTAAGTTTAAATTTAACCTCAAAACAGTCTCCTCGATGCAGCTAAACAATGGGAATTTTTGGCTAGCTAGCTACAGCTATCAGGTTTTTCTTTGTTTTTCATGAAGAGAATCTTGGTGTTTGTGTTTTTGTTTTACAAACTAGTCTGGTGTGTGAAATTGGCCAGAATTGACTTGCGGGAGATACACTGGAAGCTGGTGTGAAGACTTGTGATTCATCTTTAAAGTCATGGAAACACAGTGGACTGAATGTTTGTTATATACTGGCCGCCTTTAGAGCTCAATTCCTATTTTCAGGATGCAGTAGGTCATTATTCTCCTGACAACAGTTCATTAACAGGATTCTTCTTCCTGTCTACTCTGAAGTAGCCACCTTGCCCTGAAGGGTTAATCAGCTTTCTCCAGGTGAGCCTTCTAGCCCCAGGCCCTTGATTTAAAAAAAAATCTAAATTCTGGACTCCAAAATTCCTAAAGCCTCCAAATGCAGGAGAGAGGTCATGTGGATTTCTTGTTAAAGTCCAACCTCGGAGCTCTTTTCCTCTTAAGCTCCTTCGATGCAGACTGACAGCCAGGGTTTTGAAGAGGCTTCTGACAGGCCCAACTTGGATGATTTCACTGAAGGGTTTATGTGATAAATTGCGAGATCCCCCTCCCCACTGCCCCATTAGCATTTTAAGCCCTGGGTTACAATGTTAAGGACACAGCTGTATACTGTGTGCTCAGAACATCATCAAAGCGCAGCAGGCAGGCCGAGGAAGGGAAAGAGAAAGGACCAAGAACTCAGTGTGGCTCTGTGCTGCTGTCTGGGAAAAGCGGCACAGGTAAAGCTTTAATGAGCCTGATTTCCTTATCCAAGGGAATAGGGAATTCATATTAACCTTAAGAAACTGTTTGAAATTCTGTTCTGATAGAATATGACCCTTAAAGACAAAAACAAAGTGAATTTAACTTGGCCAACACCTAATACACGTGGAAAATCTAAGACATTTCTTTCTTTTTTTTTTTGGTGGGGTAATCTGTTGAGTTGTTAACCAAGAAATGCAAAACTAATAACAAGAAAAGAAGAAAACATAATTTAAGGAAACCACTATGTGAAAAAAGACATCCTAACTATGTGTGTGTGTGTGTGTGTGTGTGTGTGTGTGTGTGTGTGTGTGTGTAGCCTTTTAAAAAATTACTTAAGGGGCTGGAGCGATAGCACAGTGGGTAGGGCATGTGCCTTGCACTTGGCCGACCTGAGTTTGATTCCCAGCATCCCATATGCAATATGGTCCTCAGAGTACCACTAGGAGTAATTCCTGAGTGCATGAGCCAGAAGTAACCCCTGTGCATCGCCGGGTGTGACCAAAAAAAAAAAAAAAGACTTAAGACATAATAATGCCAAACCCAAAAACATAAGTTCATTTAGAATTAAGTATATATTTACATATATACTTACTCCTCCACTAGCTCCATGAACCAGAACACTTTCTCCAGCTTTTATACGGGCACTATGAAAGAAAGTACAAATATATTACCTTACTTTGAAGTTAATTAAGTTTAGGTGTTCGTAATCATCCTTAAAGAAATTCTACCCTCAGTTTGACTAATATGTTCCCTAAGAGGAAACTCATCCTAATACAGCTCAATATATTCACCAACTTTTGCAAGATCAAAGGATGATTCTTCATAGGCATAGATTTAAAAAAAAAAATCCTTCAATGCATTTATTCATTTGACAAGTTTTTTGGTACCCTATTATGTGCCTGACCCTGGGATGAATGCCAAGACCAATGGATGGGGCTTTCAAGAGGCCACAGTCCTTGTGGGTATATTAAGTGAAACTGCTGGCCCTAGAACTCTAGGCTTTCACTGATTGTTGCATGTTCCCCTACAGAGTCTCAAAAAAGGTTTATGTTAGCCTTATCTTTATTTTGAGGCTGAGAAGAATACCCTCAAAAACACAACAGCTGAATTATTTCTTGCCAGGTGTAAACATTTTCACTTCTCCTTGCATTTGGACTTCAGGATGTACTGCCTCCAAGTCTTTATTTCAGAAAGCAGTGCTGAGTCAGCCAAGTAAGAGAGTAAGAAATATAATAAGTCCTGTCCAAAGTCTCCCCTGTCAATATTAAAATGCCCAATTCCTCAGGTGAAATGACGTATTCTTTTTACTTCTGGTTCATACTACAACTCTGTAATTACAATGAAAACAAGGAACATGAAGCAAAATAGACTGTGGGATGCTTGATCATTCCAGATGGGCAAGGGCTAATGTGAGAAACCAGCAGCTGCGGTATGATCCAGATCTGACTCTGAGGGAAGATCTCTTACTGGAACAATAGGGGGTAGCCACATCATAGAATGTTCACTCTGGCAGCGAGAACATGGTAACCCAGAGGCCTACTCAAGGCTGCATGTCAACTGACAAATGGCAACTAAGAATAATAAATGAAGCTTTCCCAACATTTTTGCTTTAGAAATCAAAGACAATAACACTAAAGGTTTGAAATGATAAACTGAGGGAAATACCCAAACACTTTAACAATGTATTTATTTATTTATTTTTCTTTATTGGGCTAGAGCGATAGCACAGCGGATAGCGGATAGGGCGTTTGCCTTGCATGTGGCTGACCTGGGTTTGATTCCTCCGTCCCTCTCAGAGAGCCCAGCAAGCAAGAGTACCCCACCTGCTTGGCAGAGCCTGGCAAGCTCCCCATGGCGTATTTGATATGCCAAAAACAGTAACAACAAGTCTCACAATGGAGATGTTATTGGTGCCCACTAGAGCAAATCGATGAACAATGGGAGGACAGTGCTACAGTGCTTATTTTTAAATAAAATACTGGAGAAATAATACAGCAGGCACTTGCACATAGCTGATCCATGTTCAATCCCCAGCACCCCATGTGGTTTCTCACCCAAGTCTCGTTCTCGGAATGATCCCTGAGCTCAGAGAAAGGAGTAACCCCTGAACATACTGGGTATGGCCCCTAAACAAAATAATATTTCAATAAAACAATTAAATACTGGGGCTAGATGGACAGTTCAAAGGGCTGAACACAGAAGGCACTGCAAGCACGAGGCCTGGGTTTGATTTGGGTACTCCAGGTACCACATATGGTTACCAGAGCAAAGAACCAGGAGTAGGTCCTTAGCTCTGCAAGGAACAGCCCCAAACCAAAATGAATAAATAATAATAAAAAGTAAGAAGTAAAATACAAGTATATTAGAATAATATTGCTACAAGATTAGATGTATTAAGAAGTATTCTGGTATGTTTTTAAAGTTATACACAAGTAGTATTAGTTTAGCATTGTTTAGTATAGTATTACTACTGGTAAACTACAAGATTAGATGTATTAGAAGTATCCTAGTATACTTTTCTAATGTTATAAACAACTCCTAAAACATTAAAGCACATTTTTTAAAACTCCTGCACCTGGAATAGGTAGAAAAAAGCCAGTTCACCTCAAAATCCCCAATGCTATCATTCTATACCCTTGTACAGAATCACCACGACAACGAATTTTATGCACTAACTTGGTTGGTTGCGTAATGATGCCAAGTCAAATATTCAGGATATTCCTGTGAAGGTATTTCTTATTTCTAGTTTTAGAATTTAGTCTTGAATCTAGTTTTATTCTTTTGCTTTTTAAGACTGAAATTGCTGTATCACATTATTGTATATGTTCCAGGGGCGCTTTTCACACACTTTTTCAGAAAAAGTTGTCACCCCACACTCAACACTGAGGTGCCAAAATCTCTTCACCTCCATCTCCTCTTTACCCACTGTATCTCCCTTTTGCTCAGCCCCTCTAGTAAACAGGTTTGGGGTCCAAATCCAAAAGTAAATGTACTGATTTTGTATGTCTCCTTGTTTAGTTTCTTTACATCCTGCAAACAAGTGAGATTATCTAGTATTTATCTTTCTTTATTTTTTTTATTTCACTTAGCATACATTCTAATTTCATGCATGCTGTCACAAACAGCAAGATTTTATCCTTTTTAGCTGAGTAAGTAGTATTCTATTGTGCATATGTACCACCTCTTATTTATCTACTTTCACTAGGCACTTGGGTTGTTTCCATATCTTTTTACTAATAGTACAGCAATGAACAAAGGAATATATATGCCCTTTCAGAGTTTTTATATTAGACAGATATGTAGTAGATGTACTGGATCATATGGCATGGTATTTTTAGATTCTCAATAAACTTCCATACTATTTTCCAAAAATACTGGAACAGCTTATATTTTCATCAAAAGTGTTAAGAGAGTTTCTTGTTCTCCAAACCATGCCAACACTTGTTTCTGGTTTACGTGAGCTAGGCCATTCTCAAAGATGTGAGATGATTCTGTAGTTTTGCCTTGCATTTCTGGTATAACTGATTATGTATATTGGCCTGTTGGTCATCTGAGCATCTACTATCGTGATATTTCTATTCAACCCGCTGGCTGATTTTTTTTATAGGGATCTTTTTTTGTTATTTTTGAGCAATATGAGTTCTATATACCCACTAGTTATTAGCCGCTTACAGATATACTGGGCAAATATTTTCTCCCATGGAACAGAATAGCTTTCGTTTTACCGATATTTTCTTTCAGTGTCCTGAAGCTTTTTAGTTTGATATGTTTCAACTATTTATTTCCCTTGCTGTGGGAGTCAAAATAACAAAGGCATCACTGAAGCCAGTATCACAGAGAGTTTTATTACCTGCATATGTATTTTATGCTTTCATGTCTTATGTGGTTATTTTATCCATTTTTAATTAATTTGAATTTTTTGTGTGCATATTTTGAACTTTTGTTGTTGAAGAGAATTTTCTTTTCTCTTGATTACTGTTGAGGAGTCTCTTGACTCCTTTGCAGCAAATTAACTGCCTACATACATGTGTGTGAACGTATTTTCAAACTCTCAACTCTATTTCATTGAGGCATATGCCAATTTTATGGTATGATACCATACTGTTATTACTATAACTCTTCAGTATAGTTTGAAACTGATATCATGACTCTTCTGATCTTTTCCCCTTAGGATTACTTCTGCTATTTCGGCTTCCTTATGGTTTCATAAAAATTTCAGTAATATTTGTTCTATTTCCTTAAAGATTTTTTTTCTATTTCTTAAGAATTTTAATAGGGACTGTATTCAGTCTATAAACTGTTTTGGGTAAAATGGTCATTTTTTAACAATGTTAATTATTCAATTTTTTTATCTTTTAATTCTTTGAAAAATGTTTTAGTTTTCATTGTATATATCTTGGCTGGAGCAATAGCACAGCAGGTAGGGCATTTGCCTTGCAAGTGGCCAACGTGGCTGACCCGAGTTCGATTCCTCCGCCCCTCTTGGAGAGCCTGGCAAGCTATCGAGACTATCTTGCCCGCACCGCAAAGCCTAGCAAGCTACCCTTGACGTATTGGATATGCCAAACACAGTAACAATTGTCACAATGGAGACATTACTGGGCCCCCTCAAGCAAATCGATGAACAATGGGAGGAAAGTGACAGTGTATATAACTTGTAATTTCTTTGTAAATTTCTACATGCTTAATTCTTTTGAAGCAGAGTAAATAAAATTGTTTCCATGGCTTCTTTCTCTCATGAAGAAGAGTTTTGAAAAAAAATAAACATTTAAATTTGTGGGAGTGGTAGGGGCACACCCAATGTGCTCAGGGATTACCCTTGGCTCTGTGCTCTGGGGTCCTATGGATGCCAGGTATCAAACCCAGGTCAGCCACATGCAAGGCAAGCACCATATGCACTTTACTATCACTAGGGCCCAACACTTAAATTTCTTAAGTAAAACAGACTGCTTTCCATAATGTGAGTGAGGTCTCAATCAATCAGCTGATAGACATAATAGAACAAAGACTATTCCTCTGAGCAAGAGATCTGTTAGCAGACTGCCTTAACCTGAGTAACCCTGTGTCTACCTCAGAAAGAGAGATAAACAGAGACACACACACAGACTTACACCTCACTATCTACACTAATTACTGAGCACTTAGTGTCTATGCCAGATTCTGTACTAAGAGCTTTGTATGTATTAGCTCATTTAATTCCCATCACACTTGTATTAGGTAGATGTCCATATTTTTCAAATGATCCCTGTGTTTCAAAACAGTACACCGTAGCTGAGAAAATGAAATAACTTGACCAAGGTTACAGAGCTTATACTAGGTGAAGACAGTACTCTTAAACTCTCGCTTCTTAAACCATAGGTTATAAGTAAGTGCAGGGGCTGGGAAAAGTTTGATTCAGTTAAAAGGTTTCTGAACATAAAATGTCCAAAAATTAAGTCAAAACCAACCACATAATGAATCCAAGGTATTTCTGGCAGCACACGCCTGTATTGTATTTCTTAAGTGAAAAGAGGTCACAAGTGGAAAAAGTTTAAGAACCTCCCGTACTAAACCAGATTTTCTAATCTTCAAAGTCTATGTTCTTAACAGATGTTTAAGGATACTATGACCTCTAGACTCCTTTGGCTTTGAGATACACTCTTTTTTGGTATTCTTAGGACTTTGTCTCCTGCTTCTGACTACACTCTTAAATGATGCTCATCAGGTTTTTTTCTTACTCCATTGTTCTTTTCACTCCAAGGGATTTCAATCACTTTCACCTTGTCTACTTTCACCTACATGCTGATAACTCCAAATTTATCTTTCCAACTTTTAAGCTTCAGGCTCTTTCATCCAAGGGTTGTTGGACTTCTCTATTACAAAGTCTGTCTCAGTTTCAAGTCCAAAACTGAACTCAGTTTCCCTTCAAAACGTTTCTTCCTTTTCTTTGTCACAGTTTAAGCATAATTCAAGCAGGAAGTCTGAGGGTGTCTTTTTTTAGGGCAGGTGGGGGAGGTGGGAGGGAGGGGAGTCAGGGGGCCATACTTGGCTCTCTCCTCAGAGATCACTTCTGGGAGGTTCAGGAAACCATATGGGATGCTGAGGTAGAATCCAGGTCATCCACATGAAGATGAGAGCCTAATATATATATATATATTAGGCCTATGGCCTGCTGTACTATAGCTCTGGCCCCAAAACTGACAGTATCTTAAGCTCTTCCCCTTCCTCATTTTTCACATGCAGTCACCAAATATTTCTGGTTTTACTCCCTAAATAGATTTTTATCCCTTTTCTCCACTTCTTATGTGACCCCTGTTGGAACTTCAAAGCATTTTGTCTAGAGGATGCACTGAGAAAACCCTCCCATCTCTCTTATTCCTGTCTTCAACTATATCCTTCACACAATAGGTAAGTTATCTCAGTTAAAAGGTACAACTCTCCTGATTAAAACACCTCATGACACCAGTTCTTTACAGAATAATGTATAGGTTCTATAATCTACTTGTTGTTTTTTTTATAACCTAAAATGTACTTCCTTAATGACAGCTAGCATTTACAGATACTGTTTTACCTCATTCTTTGTCCTCCTTCTTCTTGAAATCTTCTATCTGATTAAACCTAACTTTTGCTCTCCCTAGATAGCAGGATGTTTTGCCATATATACTAGTCTGTTCCCACTGTGTAAATTGCTCCCTTTTCCTAATTACTATTCCCAGCTTATTCCTTCTGATACTGGTACTTTTCAAATACAGAGACTTTATTTATTATTATTATTATTATTATTATTATTATTATTATTATTTTGCTTTTTGGGTTACACCCGGCAATGCACAGGGGTTACTCCTGGCTCTGTACTCAGGAATTACTCCTGGCGGTGATCAGGGGACCATATGGGAAGCTGGGAATTGAACCCGGGTCGGCCGCGTGCAAGGCAAACGCCCAGGTCACAGTCATGTACATTGACTGGTGGGTCTAAAGTAGAGAACTATCTTGTACTTTAAAATTGTACAATAAGATTCCATGGATAGATTCCAAGACTCTTGAACGATGGCTTTAAAACAACCAAGGTTTTATAACTTATCCACCTCATCACTACATATATCTTCATTGTGATCCCATAAGTCCCTATATCTATCACTGCATTTTTTACCATATATGTGTGTGTGTATACATATATATATATATTTAAAAACTGCTCTTATATCCATCATCTCTTACTAAACAAAGAACATCTTGAAGACAAAAGTTGTCTTTTGCTTTTCTTGTTATGCCAGTAATGAGAAAAATCTTCTATCTTGGCAGTTTTTGTTCTCTAGAAGCTAAAGAGCAGTTCAAGGGGGACCTGAAACATAGCTCCACAGGCTGGGGCACATGCTTTGCATGAAGAGCATCTGCAATAGACCCCCGACTCAGCAGGATCCCCCAAGCACTACCAGAAGCAACTCCTAAGCAACTTCAGGAATACCCTCCACTACACAAAAGAGCAACAACATGGCAACCCCAAATAGCAGATGGATGATAGGAAGAAAGCAATCAATACCTCCCTCCCCAGCTATTATGTTCACAATCAACAGAGTGAGATATTACCTGTGAAGCAGAGCTCGATAAGCAGTAAAATATGGGATACCGATGGCCGCTCCTTGTTGAAAGCTCAGTTTCTCTGGCAGTGTATAAACAGTGTGTTCTGCAGCAAGAGCATACTCGGCATAGCCGCCAGTGATCGTGCTGGTAGTAAAAACTCTATCACCTTTCTGAGGAAAGCAATAAATAAATTAGTAAATGTATCATGGATTAAAAATTATATCAATAGGTCTATAATTCTTTGTCATGTAGCATTTTTGATTAAACATTTGGGGGTTGGGGCCAAACCTAGTGGTACACGGGGCTTGTTTCTGTCTCTGGACTCAGAAATAACATCTGGGGAAGCACAGGGGTCCATATGGGATACCGGGGAATCAAACTAAGGTTGGCCATAAGTAAGGCAAGTACCTTACCTGCTGTACAATTTCTCCAAAGCAGTACAACCATTTTTTTAAAAATTTTTATTAGTGAGACACCATGAGATACAGTTGTAGACTTACAAATTTTTGTGCTTGGGTTTCAATTATACAATGATCAAATACCCATCCCTCCACCAGTGCCCATTTCCTATCACCATGGATCCCAGTATCCCTCCTACCCCCCATCCCCCGCCCCCTTCTCACCCTGCCTCTGTGGCAGGGCATTCCCTTTTGTTCTCTCTCTCCTTTTGGGTGTTGTGGTTTGCAAAAGAGGCAATGAGTGGCAATCATGTTGGTCTACAGTCTACTTTCAGCATGCTTCTCCCATCCTGGCCTCCCAACACACAGCAGGTAGTAGAGCATGTGTCTTGCATGTGACTGACCCTGGTTTAATCCCCAAGACCTCATTTTGGCCCCGTTATTAAGCTAGATTATAAGATCCCCTTAACCCATTTTTGTGAGCTCCACTTTAATTCTTCGAAGTGGAAAAAACCAAAAAGATAAAGTGATGAAAGTGTATAGGAGTGGCAGGGAAAAATAGTGTCTGACTTAAAATAATCTACATGGGGAGATAGATCAGAGCTGAAGCATAAGTTTTATACAGGAGAGTCCCAGGTTCAACCTCTGACTAAACTTCATGGTTCCCTGAACACAGCCAGAATAACCTCTTGAGTACCAAGCCAGGAGTAGCCCCTGCTGGGCACTGCTGAGTATAGCCCCTAACAAACTACTAAAGAAATAAATAAACAACCAGGCAAAAAGAAATAGGAGATATGGCTGGAAGAATATGCAGGAGGCAGAGCATGGGCAGTCTCTTTCCATAGCAAAAGCGGTATAAACAATACTAGAAATCTGTAAGAACTTATCCAAGAATTAAGATCGAGTTATAGAACAGTAATTCTAGAAAATCACCATTATAGAAATCCAGAAAGCTGGAGCAATAGTACAGTGGGTGGGACTTTTGCCTTGCAAGCAGCCAACCTGGGTTCGATTCCCAGCATCCCACACGGTCCCCTGAGCACTGTTGGGAGTAATTTTTGAGTGCAGAGGGAGGAGTAAACACTATGTACCACCAGGTGTGACCCCCCCAAAAAAAAATCCAGGTAAAATGTAGAATAACATTGCTTTGTCCTTTCTCCCTTGCCACAAGAAGCTTAGGTTTTTCGGGTCACACGCATCAAAGTGCTCCCATTCTTCTATCTGTAACCACTTCTCCATGCTTTCTTCCCCAAACAGTTAATCAGCTTATTCCCCTAATCAGTTTAATTTGTAAGGTCAGATCTTTTTAGAACACTGAACTTGTATTATAAGTTAATATTGCCTTTCTACTCTCCTTATGTCTTTTGAATAGTTTACTTTAAAGCAATGTCCTTTTGTATAGACACAAGAAGACAATTAATTTTATGCTTTTGTAACTTGGTATTTAATTGGCTTTGAATATTATTCATTCCCTGGCTTTCTCAGCTTAAGCCTCAGTTGCCCTCACTTCCTAGTGCCCCCAAAAGCAGGGTTCCAAGGAGGGACTGGATGGAACCAGGGCTAGTGGTAAGCTATGTGCTACCCTGGCATCGAGATGGGCCTGGCCAAAGTGCCACAATTCTTAACTATAAATTAAGAGTTTGATCATGGACAAATGCTGTCATGATCCAAAAGTAATGAAGAGACTGCTAGGGATAAGAAAGACTAATCTGGCCTGAGCACTGTAGTCTGAAATCAGGATGACTCCAGGAGAGCAATTCTATAAGCTTAATGCATCTGTTACTGTGTCCATACAAAATGATTAATACTGAATGCTTATATGTTTGCTGGACAAGGAGAGGAGAAACACACCTATGGGATTCCTGCTGAAAGAGAATCTGTCCTAGAAGCAGCATCCCCTGAGGGGAAGAATTTTAACCCTATTCGTTGTGACCACACCTATGTGTAAGCCCAGCCTCTCAAGGTTTTTGGGATTTAACTAGACTGTAAGAGTGGGCTGGAGATCAGGATCAAGATCCAGAGCCAGAGCCAGGAAAGAGGGGTTCCAGATCCGGGGCTGGGAGAGAAGGAGAGAGAGAGACAGGAGTGAACAGGGATGAGAATGGAAGAAACAGCATCTGATCAATCAACCGGCTTGGCCTTCACTTCCTCCGCCGTCTGCTCCATGACCCAGGCTGCCCCCCTCCCCCCAGCCGGAACCTGGGTGGCCAGGGAAGAGCCGTCAGGGCCATCCCCTGGCTGCCCTCAGAGTTTTATACAGTAAAGATGGAATTTTGAGCCAAAATTCTGGCAGTTTGGGAGGGCGGGGTGGAGATGGGGCAGCAGGGGGAAGAGTCGGGGAAAAAAATGATTTGGGTAAGAACAAATAAAGATTCTACTAAGGATATCTATCTAGAAAAGATTCTTCTAAGGGAGAGAGAGAGAAAGGACAAAAATAAGCCTGGAAACTCACTTCCAAAAGAAACAAGAGAGAAAATCAGGTCTGATTGGAGAAATGATAAATCAGTTTCAAACATTCCAGACCAGAGATTCTTGGACAGTGACCATGTGGGTCAGCCCATGCTCCAGTCCAACTATCTGTGATGATGGAAATGTTCTCAGTCTTTCTAGTCAATGACATTAATCTGTCTAGTCTAGCCACAAGACAGACAACTGGGCTATTAAGAAATTCAAAATATTGCTATTGTAACTGAGACACATTTGATTTAAAATGTTACATGTAGCTAGTGGGCTGCCATTTGGACACCCCACTTCCAAAGTATAGTAAAAATTCTAAACATATAATGCATGATTATAGAAACCTAGGGGCATGCATGAGACAGACCATTATCAAGAAGAGACGGGATCCAAAATGCAGAGGTTTGTGTGACATCAAGATCTGAAGAGAATCTAGAGGGGGAAAATGCTGGAAATAAAGGATGCCCAGAGAGGCAGAAGGAGATCAGGAGAAAATGATGTCATAGAAGCTAAAGAAAAATATTTTTTTTTAAAGAAAAAGTGGATGAGAATGTCAAATGTCAGAGAGAAGTCAAGAGAGATAATGACATAAAAGGGCCCATTAACTCCAGCAATATAGAGGCCATTAGTGACATTAGCAAGAATCATTTCAGTGCAGCATGGGGCAGAAGCCAGATTGCCAAGGGCTCAGAAGTGGGAAGCCATAGGAATCTGAAAGTTTTCCTCAGGAAGGGGGTGGGGTGAGAGAACATTCATCTTTGTCGAAAACCAATTTGGGTAAATTGTGCTGCCAAAACTAAGCAGGTCAAGGAATTATGAGGAAAGATGCTAGAACATAAACACACTATGCTCTATATGTCTTTCTGGTATATAAATAGCAAAAGCCCTGATCATAACATTTTCATTGACTCAGTCTCCTTCATTGGAAACAGGGCTCTAAAAAATGTATAATGACCTTGGATTTGTCTCATCTTTATTGCTCAAAAGAATTAGCATGCCCTTGAATCTGTGAAGTTGAATTATAGAAGAAATGAAAAATTATGCTGGCTTGTGTGTTACTGAGAGTTGGGAAATAATATAATTTCCTTGTTTGTTGACTTATATATTTCTGTTAAATCAAAAGTATCATAATTGAATTCTGTGAGGATGTGAAGGTACAAAAATTACCCAATATTTATTCCTAACAATGCAAACAAGCAAAAATCTATGGATGAAAAATTTGGTTTTTGACTAGAGGAGTCCCCCAAGTGGCAGAAATCGTGTAATGAGGCCTTTAAAAGACTTCTATACAGTCACATTTTTAAAACTACATGAAGTCAATTTAAGAAAATTATTGAGCAAAGAAATAGATAATTAAAAAATGTAATACCAGGGCTGGAGTGATAGCACAGCAGGTAGGGCGTTTGCCTTGCACACGACCGACCGGGGTTCGATTCCCAGCATCCCATATATTCCCCTGAGCACTGCCAGGAGTAATTCCTGAGTGAAGAGCCAGGAGTAACCCCTGTGCATCGCTGGGTGTGACCCAAAAATTTTAAAAAAAAATTTTAAAAAATGTAGTACCTTGAAAGTAGATACATTATTTCCAATAGCTTCTATTATCCCAGCTACATCTGTACCAGGAGTATAGGGTAAGAGTGGTTTTCTAGCATAGGTTCCAGAACGAATATATGTCTCCACTGGGTTAACACCACATGCATACACTTTGATTAGAACCTGCAATGACAATATGACTGATTTTACAAAGAACACTTAAACATTCATTCAGCACCCAAAACTCTCATACAGATTATGAGTAATAAAAACGGGACTTTCAATAAACATTCAAGTACTGTAAACCAACAAATAAAAAACCAAGACAGAAGGCTTATGGGCATTCAATCAGCTTAATCAATGGCTGAATAAACAGCAGTACTCCTACATTATAAAAAAAAGTCTATGGGCTACATAAAAGCATATTTTGTGTTAACAATGGCAAAAATATTGTATCGAGAACAAAATGTGCTCACAAAACATTTCTTCCTCCTTCTCAGGAATATTATTTTCCTATCATAAACAAAATAAAAATCATGGAAGTTTGTAATAATATAATTTGTTTACACTATTTTGACTTCATGCAGAAAAACACCATTATGGCATGACACAGATAATTCTCAACTTCTATTAGTTTTCTGGAAACCAAGTTATTCCTGTTTGTATACTTAACATATTACATTTAAAAATAAGTTATCTTTGTCATAATGTATGCATAGACTGTAAACCATATACCAATTTTATATGTTTATAGACTTGTGAATCTGTTTCATCTGATCATTAACTTGATATGCTAGAGAGTCATACTCAGTGCAGTCATTCTCATTTTGTTTTTGTAGATACCATGAGACTTCAGTGTAATTTGCATAATTTCAGGTTTTCTTTTTTATTTTTAATGGTAGAGGGGGTCCAACCCAGGGCCTCATGCAATAGAGATATGTGCTCTACCGCAGGACCACATTCCCAGTTTCTTATCTTAAAAGTCATTACAGCAACCTGATTGTCTTTTGGAAAAGGTACTACAACATCCGAGTGGAGTTTTAGCACTTCTGGTCCACCAAATTCAAAAACTCTGATAGCTCTCATCAACTTCTGTCCAGTCGCCATGGTGATCTAGATACTAAGAAAAAAAAATATTGTCACATTGTATATCTAGGCTATCATAATTCTTCCCCTAGAGGGACAGATCAAACAAATTTTTTTCAAACAATTTAAATCATGAGCTTACTACTGATCTTATTTCATGTTAAAAGACCTTTCATCTTACAAATCCTTCAGCTACAAAGCAAAATACTTCATATTACTTCCTGTAGAGATTCCGTGCTTTCAACAAGGAAATCAAACATGCAAACAAAAACATCTGAGTAGACATAGCATGATACAATGGCTTAGGTTTCTTTTTTGTTGAGTTTAGATTTCAATCAATATCTTAGAAATTTTAGGAGCTAAATATTAACACTAAATACTTCCTTTTTTATTATATTGTGAACTATTTCAAATACAGATAAAAACAAAGACTATCATATATATATATATTTACATGTCACCCCAGCTTTAACATATAACATTTTAAAAATCTAGAACCCTACAGATAATAACAAGTCTCTTTTACCCATCCCCAACTTCTTGGCTTACCCTCTTCAGAGGAGACTGTTACCATAAACTCAGTGCTCACCATTCCCAAGCTTCATGTTCTATATCTACTCCATGCACAGGCATTAGTAAATAATGAGTCATTGTTTTGCATGGTTTCAAAATTCAGACTGAATTATACTCCATTTAATTCTACTACTTGGTTTTTATCCTACCCACACAGTTCTGTTTTTATTATTGTGGGGACTGGTGCAACTTACTGTTTTTATTGTTGTGGGGACTGATGCAACTTACAGTTACTAAGGAATGGATTTCAGACCCAAGATCTGACACATGCAAAACATATACTCTACCACCAGAGTCACATCCCCAGTCCAGCACTCAGTTTTTGAGATTTGTCATTATCATGTCAAAACACTTGGATTCACAAAATTCATTCATTACAAAGAGGGAAAAACATTAAAAGTAAAAAATACTCTTCTGCAAGTAATCTTTCATAAACAACAGTTAACAATTTTGTTCTATCATTATGTTAGAAAGAAAGAAAACTCACAATTAAAGTCTAAGACATAATGAGCATTTATCAAAATGAGGTATTTATCAAAACTCAATAACTTTGGAAATCTGGACCCGTTGTCAAAACCCTTTTATTACATACATATCTAATCTTTATCATTCATCTTTATCATGAAGTACTACAATTTCTTGAAATTAACCATATCAACTAGATTCTCTACCACCTAGAATAAACTTGCTAATATGTTCTGGAACAATAATCTGTCTCAACTACAAACTGGATATTAAGCTTTTGCAGATAATAGGATTTGAGATGATAGAATTCATTTACTGTAGTAAAGCTCAATTCAGGGCTACACAGAACACAGACCTTGCTGGCTATAGAATGTAACTCCATGGGTCTGGAGAGATAGTAGAGATGGTCAAGCCCTTGTCTTGTATACAGAAAACCAGGTTCGATCCCTTATACTACATGTGGTTCTCTGAACACCACAAAGAGCCAGGAATAAGCCCAGTGCACCATCAGATGTGGCCCCAAACCCCCCAAAAAGTCTCCCCATGTATAGGGGTGGGAGAATTGTGTTATTTACAAATCCATCATTTAACACTTTTTAACACAGCGTCTAACACAGAAGCACTGTAGCACTGTCCTCCCGTTGTTCCTCGATTTGCTTCAGCAGGCACCAGTAACGTCTCACAACAAATTGTGAGACTTTTTGTTACTATTTGTGGCATATTGAATACGTCACGGGTAGCTTGCCAGGCTTTGCTGTGAGGGCGAGATACTCTCAGTAGCTTGCCGAGCTCTCCGAGAGAAGGAGAAAGTGAATTTTCCAACACTAAAAGCTTATTTAGCAATGAAAAAAAAATCCTAAAGGGGAGGACAAATATAAAAGGGGCGATAGCATAAACCTACTGCATTTCACCTCATAATTTTGAAAGATTTTATGATTTTTTTCATTAGGTGAAGTTTTAATTTTAATTGTGACAGTGTTATTGAAAAGGCAGTATGTGATGATTAAAAGTCGACAACAACTATTCTGTGAATTATGGCAACCACACTCCTCAGTAAGTAGCTGAACAGTCCTGGGAGGTAAGAGGGTCACAGAGACCTAGGACTGGGTAGAGGGAGGCACCTCATTTGGACACTACTGTCCCACAGCCGTGTGTACTTCCACCTGGGTCTTAACCCATGCTTGGAATTTCTAGCCAAGAAATGAAAAATATAAAAAGGGGAAAAGAACAAGATAAAGAAAAATAATAGATCACCCACATCAGAGGTTTCCATTAGGAAATATTACACAACTCTTGAACCTGAAAACTGAGTTCCCATTCCAGGCTGTGTGCTAGAGAGAGGCCAACATAATCAATTTCTTATTCATCAAAATATTTTTGATCCTACATTTTTGTAATCATATTTGAGTTAATGGACAATGTTTACAGAGCTCTCCTTGGTCTCAAAGAGTTCAGAAAAAAAAAATTTAAGTGAATCACTATCACTGTCCTCCCGTCGTTCATTGTTTTTCTCAAGCAGGCCCAGTAACGTCTCCATTGTGAGACTTTGTTGTTACTGTGTTTGGCATAACGAATACGTCATGGGGAGCTTGCCAGGCTTTCCCGTGCGGGCAAGATACTCTTGAGCTCTCCGAGAGGGGCAGAGGAATCGAACTTGGGTCGGCCTTGTTGGCTGAGTGCGAGGCAAATGCCCTATCGCTCCAGCCCTGAATCACTATGAGATTGAGTATTACAAAGATGTTCACAATTGGCTTTCAATCATACAATGTTCCAACACCCATCTCTCCACCCGAAAAGTTTAAACAAAATATTAATACCAAATACTGATTCTGAAACAGCCATACTGCACTGTGCTAACCCCAGAGAACAAAAGGGCAATGATACCTCCATCTCTGCTGTAGCTCCAGCTCATTCTGTGCTCTCATTCTCTCCCACATCCTGAGCACACACACGAAAGATGAGTATCTCTTCTCTCTTTCAATGTCTATTTCCTATCAATATCTTTCTTTCAAACATTCTAATTTTTCACCAATAGACCTTACAATTATGCTCCCAAAATAATAGATAAGAGCAAGATTGTTGCAAAGCAGAATCTATCAAAAATATCTGGTACCATGGTTTTTGTTCAACCCTGGGCCAATCCATGGGTGTGGAAAGGTTGAAAAACTCTGATCATACTGTCTTAGTTATAACTGCTAGCCTGTGGACAGATGCTAGCCAGCTGTTGTTAAAAAAAAAAAAAGGACTGAAGAATATTCATCTAGCTTATGTTATTTTTCCCTCTACAGTTGCTAAATTGGGAGATAGAGAATGAAGAAGACTTAATCCTACCTTACCCCCACACCACATACAGATACTGCTGCCTTTCCTTAGCAGTCTTGTCAGGATCTGCTGGGGCACGACCAGGACAGTTCTGTGTTCTACTGTGCATCAATACATCTTATTCCCTCCCCCCCGCCCCCCCCCCCCCCCGCAAAAAAAAAAAAAAACCCTTTGTCATTCTGATAGATCAGGCTCTAATCTGTACTTGGCTGTGAACTAACTCAATAACCACAGGGTCATCAAGCTGCTTCACAATACAAGAATTATGTAAGGCCCTCCCATTGATCTGATCGTCGATTTGCTCGAGCGGGCCCAGTAACGTCTCCATTGGAGACTTTGTTGTTACTGTGTCTGGCATATCGAATACTCTCAGTAGCTTGCCGGGCTCTCCGAGAGGGGCGGAGGAATCGAACTCAGGTCGGCCATGTTGGCCGCTTGTAAGGCGAACGCCCTACCCGCTGTGCTATCGCTCCAGCCCACAAGAATTATGTAAAAAAAGTAATAATAAGAGTAAAAGATTGTATTACTCAAGTTGGATCTACTTATTAAGCCTTTAGTTTCAAAGAGTTCAGAGATGTTTAAACAAAACATTAATACCAAATACTGAATCATTCTAAAAGTGCCATAAGAACCACTTTCTTCTAAGGTTTTTCAACTCCAACTAGACAACTGTTTTCACAACAGGTTGAAAAGCAACAACTATTAAACCACAATTTCTTAGTATATGGAAAAGTGAAGAAAAAATAACATCATTTTAGGAATGAAAAATATCCTAAGAGAGATCAAGACTCAAAACTCAGCAGGGCCACACTGTGAAGCAGTGCTAGAGCCAAAATTCTATGCTTTAAATATTAGGTGATAATTTCCCGCTCATGTATAATCCTTTTCATCTCACACTTTGAAATGCTGGGAAGAAGGATCCTTATTGTCTTAGATGTATATTTTGTGATAGTGAGACGAAGTGAGTTAGAAGCAGAAAACTGAATTAACATGCACACAAGAGTATACATTTTATTGTCAAAGCATCTGCTTAAGTGTCTGAACTTTCTCAAGGGCATTAAGATAGGGAGCCGACTAGAAAAACAGTATGAAATTCTAGTGGAAAATGAGTAACTTCCTTATCAGCAGAATGGGGCTAGTATTCTCAAGCAAAGGTCCCTTGTGAGGATCAGCTATAGTAGCTACAGTACTCCTTATAGTTCTCCGGCATTTAGTAAAGTCTGTTATGCAGACCTAAGCATTTGCAGTCAGGCCAGTCCCACATCGCTGTATTCTTTAACTAAACTGTACCTCCAATAGGTATTTCTGCTTGCACTCCAGGTATTGGGGGACCAGAGGTTGGTGGGATTTACCACCGATGACCACTCACGGATCGTCCTGGCAGTTGTGTGAATCAGATCAGTTATTTCTGTAGGGACAGCAGTCCAAACTTCAACATTAAACAGGTTCAATCATTAACACATTCTCTGTTCACCAAGATGAGTCTCCTCTAGTTAAGCGGGTAATCATCCAGACACATGTTAACAGGTCACTGTCAATTTTTTTTTTCTTTGAAAATGATTAGGAGAGATGGGGACTAAACTACACATTTCATCCCAGAAGAAAGCAACTTGAATAGCCATGTAGGCAGGCCCGGGAGGGGAGCGCTCAGGGACTCCTGCAGTTGTAGGCCCAAAGCCTGGTGATGGACCCAGCTGGGTGGGCCAGGAACTCTGGCTGCAGAGACAGACAGCACTGTGGCAGGGAAAGTCCCAGTCCAGGCCACTGCACAGAAGTTCCAGGTGGACACGGGCTGCGACTTACAGGGATGTCGGAAGGGCAGATGGGAGCTCTAAGATGTGGAGCTTCAAAACAGTTACTGCTAGAAGCCAGTGATCGGTGTGATCGGGGTCAGGGGATTGTGGGTGAAGTGGGGTGCGGACAAAGCTTCCCTGGTGATTTACCAAATTTCAGCAACTTGCATCAGCATGAGGGTCGGAGGTGGGGATAAAACACTCCGGGTGATTTACCGTTTAGGAACTTGCAGTTCCTTATGGGGAATGATCGAACCACGAACTCCGATTTCACAAATTTTCTGCGCAGGGCAGGGGCGAAGCCCAAATCAAACTCCTACGGTTTCCTGCGGACGAAACTGCCTGGAGTTTGGCCGCCTAAATCACTGAATCCACCTACCTGGTACACCAGGGAACTCACACTTCTTCGAGCTCCGCCGGGTCGCACTGAAAAAGTGGGCAGGGCTGCACGGCTCCGACTTCTGCAGACTCCGCCTCGCTCCGCCCACAGAAGGAGGCACGAGACTATCACGAGTTTGTAACGTCGAGGAATTTGGGGCCTTCTCGGCCGCCGTTGGTCTCAATATGGCTGCCCCCAGGGGCGCGCTAACGAGAGAGCGCGGACCGTATTTAATCCCCATCGCATGGATCGTAGCGCAGAATTCCGGAGATGGAAGGCGCAGTGTTTGAGCAAAGCGGACCTCAGCCGGAAGGGCAGTTTGGACGAGGACGTGGTAGAGCTTGTGCAGCTCCTGAACGAGCGGGAACAGTTTTTCACCACTAGTTCCTGCTCTGGCCGCATCGTGCTCCTAGATGGGGTGAGGCTCCTTCATGCCCCGTTCAGTTACTGCCGGGTAGTCAGCGGCACACAAGAACTCGATTCTCACTCAGTGCCGCGCCCCAATCCAGCCTCTCTCTGACCTTCTGGTGGATGGTATTGGTTTCTTTTCGTTTACTTTGGTTTGCGCTGGGGACCCACAGCTGTGCCCCAGCCTTACTCCTGCCTCTGAGCTCAGAGATGACTCCTGGCGAGGCCGAGTGCTGTGTAAAATGTTGGTTATCACCTGCAGATCATACAGATAAATAACTGATTTTGTAGGTCTTCCATGGGTTCCGGTAGTCTGAGTTTCTAACACGCCGCCAGTAGTGTGGAAACTGTTGGTCTTGCAAGGGTTAAATGATTTGGTTTTCTGCATGTGCCGTGAGTTAATAATTTCCTCGTAAAAGACGAATGTTTTTCTCTTACCCGGCTCGGCCCATCCCCGTTTCTACTTGGTTCGAATGTTGTCAGGGGTCAGGAGTCCAGTAGGGCCTCCTGGCGGCCTTCTCAATTATTACAGCTCTCGTCTCCGGCTAAATGTACATAATCCCAGACTTTGGGCCAACTCCGAGTTTGGGTTTGATAAAGCCTAGATTCAGGAAAAGTTTTAGAAATGGTAGGAGGTGTCACTTTAGGAAGGTTATGTAAGGTAAGCCCCGTCCAGCTCTATTCTCCAGTTGAGAATAATCAGGACCATGGGTTTCAGAGAAATAGGATGATTCGAAACATTTAGCATTGTGCTTAGATCCCGTATTAAGGACACTGTAAATTAGCTGTGAATTAATTCACGGTCACGGTCCTCCCGTTGTTCATCGATTTGCTCCAGCGGGCCCAGTAACGTCTCCATCATGGGGCTTGTTGTTACTGTGATTGGCATATCCAATACCTCACGGGTAGCTTGCCAGGCTCTGCCATGCCAACGAGATACTCTCGGTAGCTTGCCGGGCTCACCGAGGGGAGGGGGAATCGAACTTGGGTTGGCCATGTAGGCCGCTTGTAAGGCAACCGCCCTACTGCTGTGCTATCGCTATTTTAATATGGAGAGTGAAAGAGCATGTTCAGAAGCTCATTCTTTAGAGAACTTCACTGGTTTTTAAATAACTTCACCCATCATTTGCTCTCCCACTTTAATAGTCAGGCCTGCTCATATTTTATATTGTTTCCGTGGCTCTGGCTACTGACTTGTGTGCCACTGACCCTCTCCAATGAACTCGCTGTCTGCTACCACTACCCTATCTCACCTGGATACTCTGATTACGCTGTTCACCTGCCCTGTCGCCCTAATTAGGGGTTCTCAAGCCGGTGCCTGAACAGTGGTCTACCCCACATGTTGCACATTGCTAACACACTTACCATGCTTAGTCTTTTGAAGTGCACCATTCACTTATACTGAAATCTTTCACTTTTTCCAATGTCAGAGAATCTTAAACTGCTTGTAGTTTACTTGCAACCCTATCTGCATTACTTCTCTGCGTCTGCATTTACTGAATTTAAACGTTTTTGCGTCTGATATTTACCTGATTTTGCTTTCACTATATTGTCCTCGAGTTCTGAGTTTGAATCCTCCACCCCTCTTGGAGAGCCCGGCAAACTACGGAGAGTATCTCGCCCGCACGGCAAAGCCTGGCAAGCTACCTGTGACGTATTCAATATGCCAAACACAGTAACAAGTCTCACAATGTTACTGGGCCCGCTCGAGCAAATGGATGAACAACGGGAGGATGGTGTCAGTGATATTGTCCCCATCTCTGGTTGTCTGGGTTACTGCCCTAAACTACTCCCTTCATCTTGAACACTGATGCTGTTCGTCCTGAGCTGCTTTTTCTGAACTGCCTTTGGACTTGTTCTGAAACTTTTTGTTTATTTTGTTGTCTACTTTGCTTTGTTTATTTTTAAATTCCATTTCGAGAACAGTTTGGAGCAGCTTACAAAAGCAGGGGAAATCTGAACAAAAGGAATATAGATAAGATGAAGCTCCAGTGGATATAAGATGAAGCCACAGATCTTTTTATTTCCTCAAACTTTTCATTAGATTATGTAATTGTGCTAAACATGATTTTACTTTCTGGTTCTAAGGTTGAGAGCAACCAATTCAAGTTCAGATTAAAATCACTTGGTAAATTAACAAAAAGTAGTTATTTAGGAAAAGCAGAGATCTTGGCTCCCAAGGCCAGATAACAACATCTCTTATGGACCCATTTTATATAAATATTTACTTACTTAGAAATATAGTGTGCTGGAGCTATAGCACAGCGGGTAGAGCATTTGTCTTGCACACAGCTAATATGGCCAACCCAAGTTTGATTCCTGTGCCCCTCTCGGAAAGTCCGGCAAGCTACCGAGAGTACCTCGCCCGCACGGCCAAGGCTGGCAAACTACCCGTGGCATATCCGATATGCCAAACACAGTAACAAGTCTCACAGTGTTACTGGGCCCGCTTGAGAAATATAGTGATATAAAAGTGCTGTGTGTTACTGCTTCCACTCTCCAGTATCATGGAATATAGAAACTAGTTGTACCCACCATACCTAAGAAGAGCCTAAAAGAACTTTGCATAGGAAGACTTTTTCAGATAATAATAATAATAATAATAATAATAAAAGCCCTCCCGTTGATCATCGATTTGCTCGAGCGGGCCCAGTAACGTCTCCATTGGAGACTTTGTTGTTACTGTGTCTGGCATATCGAATACTCTCGGTAGCTTGCCGGGCTCTCCGAGAGGGGCGGAGGAATCGAACTCGGGTCGGCCATGTTGGCTGCGTGCAAGGCAGACGCCCTACCCGCTGTGTCAGGATGGCCGAGTGGTCTAAGGCGCCAGACTCAAGTTCCTTTCAGATAATAAGCAACAAATTGATGGGAAAACATTTTTCTTCTTGAAACTTTGATTGTTCTAAGCTCTGCCCTTTGAGACTTTATATAAAAACCTAATCCTGAATGGCATACATGTAACAGGTGGGCGGCACAGAGTGAGTAGATTCGATGTGTTATTGCAACCAGGTGTTCTTATGTAGCACTGTAGCACTTGCTTTGCATGCAGCTGACCCAGGTTCTACACCAGGCACCCCATATGGTTCCCAGGACCCTGCCAGGAGTAATTCCGTAGCACAGCCAGAAGTGGCTCCAAAACAAATAAGAAATGTCTGAGATTTTACAACAGAATTGAGGTACCATTTATTCTGTCTAAAATGTTTTCCTGGGGATGAAAAGATAGTACAGCGAGTAGGGTGTTTGTCCTGCATGCGGCTGATCAGTGTTCAGTTCCCAGCATCCTGTATGGTAGTACCCCAAGAAGTACCCCGAGAACTAGCAGGAATAATTCCTGAGTGCAGAAACAGAAGTAATTCCTGAGCACTGTAGGACATAACCCACAGACCAAAAAAAGTAAAAAAAATTTTAATTTTAATTCTTATGAGAATTAAAAAATATCTTTAATATTTTATGCTAGCCAAATAAATATATAACTGAACTGCACTGTCCTCCCATTGTTCATCGATTTGCTCGAACGGGCCCAGTAAGGTCTCCATTGTGAGACTTGTTGTTACTGTGTTTGGCATATCTAATACGTCATGGGTAGCTTGCCAGGTTTTGCCATACAGGTGAGATACTCTCTGTAGCTTGCCAGGCTCTCCGAGAGAGGCGGAGGAATTGAACTCAGGTTGGCGGGTTCAGCCAAGTACAAGGCAAACGCCCTACCCACTGTGCTATCGCTCCAGCCCATAACTGGACTACTAGTGTACAATTCCCTATGAAGATACCTTGCATCTAACAAAATTATGGCTATATTTTTAAAACTATTCAGGCCTTTTTACCTTCATTAGGAAAATTTTTTTTTCTATCTCAAGTAATTTGGTATCTTTTTATATTTGGGGTTGACTTTGAAGTCTATTGAGTTGTTCTAAGTGATATTTATAGTCATCATTTGTGCTTAGTATTTTAAAAAATTTATTATTATATGCATTACAGTATGTTTATTAGTTTTTCCCTTGTTTGATTTGGTGCTGGGAGCTGGCCTTTGCAATGCTTGTATACTCCAGCCCTTTGAGTTATCTCTCTGGCCCCTGTAAACATTATGTGATATACTAAATCATGTTACTTATTTCAGGGCACAAATGGTTTTGAGATTCAGAAACAAAACTGTTGCTGGCTACTAGTTACACACAAACCGTGTGTAAAAGATGATGTGGTAAGTATAACTATCACTTAATCACTTAACTTCCCGTTAGTCGTTGATTTGCTCGAGCGGGCGCCAGTAACGTCTCCATTTGTCCCTGTCGCGTGCTAGTGTAGCCCAATGGCATCTGTTCGCTCCGGGAACATGAAGGGCCTCAAACCGATCGTTCATGATCTTGACGAAGAAGTCTAAGTATAACTATAAAAATAAATATTTATTTCACCATTGCTTTAAATACTATCAAAAGAATACAAAATTCAGTGTGATTGCTGCACAATTGCAGTACTGAGAAATATAAAACATAAAAACATTTTTTATAATGACTGTTTTGAGTTATAGGAAATAAAAAGTATATTATGCAAGTATTAAAACTGCTCAAGAAAACACATCTTGGACGCAGCAAAGAGTTCATGAAGGTTGGACATATGTTGAATTTCCGTTCTGCCATGATTCTATAATTTGGCAGAGAGTTAGGAAATAGACTATGTATTATGTATTATGAGCTTGCTTGCTGATGTAAATATTCATTATTTGCTGGGATTGATTCTTTAAAATTTCCTATCTGCATTGGATTATTAAGTTTCCAAAGTTAAATGTTTTGGTGAGTTCATTTAAGTTAGCGTTAGTTAGGCACTTTACACTCCCAGTGAATTTAGAGACTCGACTCTAAGTTTCTCTAGCAAAAAAGAATAGTTGACTTAACTGGCAGGGACTGAGTGGGCCATTGTGGATACGGTACTCAAGTGTCTTTAGAGTATTTGTTCCATCTCTGTCTTTGATTATTAGTCTTCTCTGCATGTTTGCCCTTCCTCTTTTTTTCTATAAATGATCCTTGCTATAAATGTCCTTGTGTCAAAGAAGGTAACCTGTGAGCAACCTCATCAGAAAAACATATTTTTCCTATATCATTCTTCAAGATTGATTTTGAGTCATTGTGTTTGGGTTAGGGTTAGTGTCCCTAAGATCAATTATTTTGCCAGTAGAATGGATTATACTCATAAAGAGACCTGGCCTTGTGACATTTCTGATACCGTGAGGAATATCTCTGAGTGGAATTGATGAATGACAGGTTCACAGTTAACAATCTCAACAGAATCAGATGGTGTGAGAGAAGGATTCTTAGAAATAACTCCCTTGTGTGAATTCTTGCAAAAATATAATACATGTTCTTCAAAAATCTTAACAACACATCATTTCAACAGACCTTCTAATATAGTCTCTACATCACTATTCCTTAGTGAGAAATCTGTTAAGGAATTCTAGTGGTAGATTGCTTTGTAGTGATATGGATAGACAAAAGGTTTATGGGAGAATTAGAAATTGGGTTTCTTAAAATAAGTGACAACGCCTGAGTGTATGCTTTGCCTTCAGGAGACCTGCATTGGATCCCAGGCCTTGCATGTTTCCCCAAGAAAAACCAGGAGCTCCCCTCCTCTCCCCCCAACACAGAGCTAAGAGTAGCATCAGCAACACTGGGTGTGGCCCCAAATAAATAGGCAGACAAATGGGTTTCTAGAGGATGGAAAAAGAGTGACTAATTGCGCTGACAATAGTCTGCTGCATGAGTCTGGAAGTCTGAGAAAAACTGACGTTTCATGGGCATTAGTGTCACCAAAGGACAAGGTTTCTGCTGATAACTGCATCTTGTTTATTTAGATTGAAGCTCTGAAGAAAGTGAATGGAGATGCCATTTTGAAATTTGAACCGTTTGTTCTTCATGTGCAGTGTCAAACGTTGCAGGATGCTCAGATGCTGGTAAACTTTTATCACTGAATTTATAGGTGTGTGGGTAGACTTAATTTTTTTTTCTAACTTTATTGGATCACCATGAGATAGTTACAAGCTTTCATGTTTGGGTTACAATCACAAAATGATCAAACACCCATCCCTCTACCAGTGCACATTTCCCTACCACCAATATCCCTGGTATATCCCCCCTTTCCCACCCTCCCCCTACCTCCATGGCAGACATGATTCCCCATAATCTCTCTCTACTTTTGGGCATTATGGCTTGCAACACAGACCCTGAGAGGTTATCATGTTTGGTCCCTTATCTACTTTCTGCACATATCTCCCATCCCGACCGATTCTCTCAGTCATCTTTTTCCTAGTGATCCCCTCTGCATTCCACCTGCCCTCTTCCCTTTGCTCATGAGGCAGGCTTCCAGCTATGGAGCAGTCTATCTGTCCTGTATATCCACTATCCTTAGGTGTCAGCCTCATATTATGTTGTTTCATGTTCCACAAATGAGTGCAGTCCTTCTATCGGGTAGACTTAATTTTAACCTTTAATTCTACCACAATTAGGGCAAGGTTAGTTTTTTCATCTGATTTTATTTTCATATAGATTTTGGGTTAGACATATTTCTGTAGTTCTTCAGGCTAACCTGTAGAGTTAATCAGTTTACATGATTAAACCAGATTATCAGAATTTAACAAATGTTATTTTCTTGCAGCATACTGTGGCAGTGGATTCTGGTTTCCGGAATTCTGGCATAACAGTAGGAAAGAAAGGAAAGACTATGTTGGTAAGATATTTTTCAGCAAAAATATTTTTTGAGCATGAAATGATCCGGATGACTGAATAGACCTAATTAGATTTCTGCCTTTAGTTACTTCGTCACTCCTCAAATCTTTTAAATGAGTGTAGTCCCTCGTTTATAAACCTCCACAGTGGGGCGTTTGCCTTGCACACAGCCTACCCGAGTTTGATTCCCAGCATCCTATAAGGTCCCCTGAGCACCACCAGGAGTAACTCCTGAGAGCAGAGTCAAGAGTAACCCCCGTGCATCGCTGGGTGTGACCCAAAAAGAAAAAAAAAGAAAAAAAAACCTTCCAAGATGGGAGTTGGGGGATGGGGAGAGTGTCACTGGAGAAGGGATTGGTGTTGGAACATTGTGTAATTGAAACTCAATTATGAATAAATTTGTAACTTTGAAATTCATAGTGATTCGATGAACTATTAATTTGCAGGGCCATGGAAATGGCTCAAGGGCTAGAAAATGTGCTTTGTGCTTGGGATATCATCAGGGTACAAGGACTAGTCCTCTCTTCCCACTCCCTGCCCCACCCCTCCACCATTCAAGAAGTTAACTTGCCAATCTAAATCTGTAACAAGAAGGAAGTAGCAATACAAGGCTAAGAATAGTACTCACAACAAATATATTTTGGGAAGTGTGGAAGTGTTGGGCCACACCCAGAAGTGCTCTGGATCAATCCCAGTTGGTGCTCTGGCGACCAGATGCAGTACAAGGACTGAATTAGAGCAGGATGTGTGCAAGGCAAGTACCATAACCCTTGTACTGTCTTTCCAACTCCAAACATTTTATTTTTGGTCCTTTAAAAAGGTTTCTATAGGGAGGCTAGAGAATTTGTACAGCGGTTAGGGCATTTGCCTTTCACATGTCCAACCTGGTTCAGTCTCTGGCACTCCAGATGGATGGGTCCTAAGAACCTCCCAGGAGTGATCCCTGAGTGCTGAGCCAGGAATAAGCCCTGACACAATCTGATGTGGCTCTCCAAAGAAGTAAAAGCGTTTCTATGTCTAGAGAAAATTAAATTTGGGAGGTCAAGGAGGTGCTCTTAAACTGCACTTGGGGAAACAGTGGCTGCTCCAGGAGATACTGAGCCCAGTGGATTCAATTCCTATCACAGAAAATAAGTATGTAAATAAATGACTTACTACTCTTTCCTCCTGGGAATTAAGTCCAGAATTATTAGATTTTTTTGTTTTTTTGTTTTGAAATTACACAGTTTTTATTTGGAAGTTTTGAAGGGAAGGAGGGAGATAAAATGGGAGAGAGTGGAGAGTAACATGCTCAAGAGAGAACCTAGGCTTCCCCAAGGGCGGAGAGAGCCCCTACACACATCCCAGCATTAGACGTGAAAACATGAAAGTACACATCTCAAGAGGGGAGATGCGAGCGACACCTGTGCTCAGGCAGCATATGCACCAGAATTGTTAGTTTTACAACTGAGGTCTTATCTTACAGTATTCATCCTTCTCATTCTAAATAGTTAAAATGTTGTTCAATAAGCATGATGATGGTGAAGTGGAAAGATTGCTGAGTTTAAACTTCCCTACATTACATTATATGAATTTGGGCAAAAACCTCTTTAATCCCTCAGGGCCTGAGTTGTCTCAGCTATATAGATCTGGGGTGCAGCAAACTACTCTGCTAAGGCCAAGGTCAACCCATTAAGGAACTAGATCCCAATATACCCATTTGATTAATTATTGTCTGAGACAGCATTTGTACTGTAGTAGCAAATTTGAATGGTGACCTATGACAAATCTAAAAACATTTACTCTTTACCTTTCACCAATAGAGTTTGCTGCCTTCTGGACTAGATCAGGATTTCTCAACCAGGGGTCGTATAGCTCCACTTGTGGGCTCTAGGATATACCAAAGGGGCCCCAGATGAAAATCATGCAAATGTGTGTGGGTGGGGGGACACAACATGAGACTAGGGGCCTAATCAGTATGATGGGGGCCCAAGAAGGAGAGAGTCTGAAGGAGGCCATGGTCAGATAAAGGTCGATAAACACTGGGCTTTATCTTTTAAAAATCTGGTAGTCCAAGCGAGACCATAAGCACTGTTAGCTACCCTTCTTTTGTCTTTCATGATGTTTGTTTCAAGTTCTGTAACTTCTGCCTGTTATTTCTCCCAAAATCACCTCTCCACTGCTTCTTGAACTCTCATTTTCCCTCATCTCTGTCTTTCCAGTTGTCTTCTGATTCATCTTCCTATTCTCCGTATTATTCAGTCTCTCAGGTACCAGTGCCACCAGAATTCCCTCTTTATAAAAATTCAGCGTCTCCAGATATTTTTCCTCATATAAGAACACAATCTTGTTCAGTAAGCATGATTATGATATAATGAAAAGATCACCGAGTCTAATGTCCTCTGCATTGTCTGATTTTGGGCTTTACATAGTAAACTATTCTATGTCTACCTTATTTATGCTCATCTCTCAATAGTGTATCTCCTGTTGGAACACCTCTCATAAAGTAATTACTTATCTGTGTATTTCCTGTTCCTTAGAGTGAACTTCTAAGGGCAGGAACCATGTTGTATTCATCCTGTTTCTCCACATCTTATTGGAGGCCTAGAATATCACAGGAGATGCTTAGTCAAGCTTCAGTAAATGAGTTTCAATTCTTTGTAATACTTTTTATTGTTGTTCTTAACCTTTTATCCAGTATTAGAATCAAGTTGGAACTTACTGGCTGCTTCATCAACAGGGTGACTAAATTGGCAGCCCTAAAACAATGGAACCGCTTTTTGATAGAAGATGCTTATTTATTCTCTTAACAACACAGCTTAAGCCAAGCTAAGAGGCTCTGTGCTATTCACTCCACTTTTATTTTCTCTTGAAGCTTCTGTTGAGTTTCCTTTTTATTTCTTCTCTTCAAAATGTGTATTGGAGCTTTCTAAGCTTTAGTGAGATTGAAACTGTTAAAGTTATTGGATTGTTTGATTTTATCTACCTCTCTGAAAGATAAAGTATAAAATTCCTTTTCTTTAGAAATGACTTTATAGAATAAAAAAAAATCTAATCTCTTTTGATGCCACTGAGTTTAGCTAAATTACATCAAAGTCTAAATTTAAAAGCTGTAATGGAACTAAATTGTTTAAACACAGCCCTGTTTGGGACTGTCTTGTAGTTATTTTCAGTGTCTCTCGTAAATGTAGACATCTTTGTACCTAAATTGTTTGTTTGTTATAGGCTGTCCGGAGCACACATGGCTTAGAAGTTCCATTAAGCCAAAAGGGAAAACTGATGGTATCTGAGGAATACATCGCCTTTGTGTTAAATTTAGCAAATCAGAAAATGGAAGAAAATAAGAAGAGAATTGAAAGGTATATTAATTCAGTATTTCCATGTTCTTATTCTGTGCTTTGGTTATCTTTAAAAATAGATATGCCATTTTCAGTTTATGCTTTTTTGTACCCTTAGTGACCCTTCCCCCCCCCAAAAAAAAAGTTGGTCAATGTAGCATGTAAGCATTGAATTATGAAAATAGCTCTGAGGAGTTGTGTGAACAAGGTCCTGAGTTCAGTTCCCAGCATACATGTTCTCTACCTCTGCACCTCTAGCCCTGCAGAGTGAGGTCCTGGTAAACACAAGCACTGCCAGGAGTTAGCACTGAACTATCTCGCTTCAAAGAACTAAATACTACCAGAAATAGTCCCAGGGGAGTCCTACCCTCCTTTTTAAAAAGGAAAAAGGAAAAGCATAGGTTAGATTATGCTGGATATGGGATAGAATATGTGGGGGTGGGGGGGAGGTGCAGGGTGGCACCCTTGACTTCCAGCTACGGACATTAGTAGGAGATAAGATAATCACTGAAATAAGAGAGGCCATAGTTACAAGGACCATAATGACTAAGTTGAAGGCTTCTGGGAAAGAAGAATGTGATTTACTAGAAATTAATACAATCTCCTATTGAGAAGAAGATCTTGTAACTTTTTACCTAAATGAATTTTAAACCTTTATTTTTTATACCTTTGGGGCCAAATCTTATCATAGATTCAATCTGGGTTTTTCATAATCGACCATATGAGGGTTGTGGCTCATTCACAGTTTTATAATTCTCTTATTTTTAACCTGGATCTTTTGTTAGATGAAACTATTCTATTATTTTCCTTTTTAAATCTTTTTGCTAAGAAGAGTTTTATAAATATTCATACTTAAAATATACTGATATAGATATATATAAATGGTATATTATAAGTATATATCTATATATGTAAACATAAATGCTTTCTGATCTATCCTCAGCAAATTATTGACTTTTTTCTGGGGTATTCAAAAAGTGATGTCTACCTTAATGTCATTTTCCTTTTTTTTTTTTTTATTCCTTTGACCATCTTGTTACTAAGTCAGTCTATGACTAAATAAACCTCGAATCGTTTTCTTTCCCCTTCTTTATTTACTGCATCTTTCTTCACTCAAATCATTTTATTAGCCTCATTGACTGACTTTATAGTACAGCTCTTCTAGTATGTTCCTGTTTAGCCACTCTCATAGTCTGTAAAACATGAAGGAATGCTATTCTTTAACTTGCTTGTCTAAAATTCAGTTGTGCCTAAAACTTTTTTGGAAGCAGCTACAGCAGGAAGTGTTAAGAGTAACAATGTAGCTTGGTGTGGAAAATGAGACAAGGCTTCAGAGGTAGCCTTGAATTCAAATTATGAGTTCAAATAAAGGTTCCAACAATATTCAGTCAATTCTCTTCACTTCATCTTCTTATCTTTAATTTGGGGAAATTCCTCCTTTAAAGAACAATATTGGTGTATGTTAGAGATGGTCCCTTTCCCTGTTGTTACCATGAGAAGTCTTTGGAGACCAGAGATCCCTTCTTTCTTCATTGACTCATATAGAGAATAAACCCATAATAATCCAGGTTTTGTCACTTAGGACTCCTCATTTGAACCACAAAATTGATTCCTCATTTGAACCTCCTCATTTGTACCATTATTCATGTTCTTGCAAGGTTGATCTATAATTTGTATCTTTGTAGAAACTTTGAAAGGAATTTTTTTTTCTAGATACATTGAGAGTAGTTTATTCTGTATAATAGATAGCTTATGTCATTAGGGTTTAATTTTCTAGTGGAAACTTGGTTGGAAAATAACAGAAGTTGGGGGTTGCCTCTCTGAAGGATGCTTTGAGCAAACATTGTAAATAAAGTGATGATGCTAGTAAGCACCTGCAGAGCACTCAGCCACTCCACCTGGAGACAGAATCTGAACTGTTTGTAGGCACTTACTGGCGCTATTCAAAAAGTTTACTATAGTTGCTAGATATTATTCCAGTGAGACTGTTTGCTAAAACATAGGAGGTAGCAAATCAATTTTTCTGTTTCCTTACTTGAATTTCAACTAGATTATAAATATAGCCCAAGATCAACTAACTATACACCTGGTGAAGTTAATTGAGCCACGTTCACCAACTATAAAATCAAATTATGCTTTAAATCCATTGACTCAAAAAAATGTTTTGAGATTATAGTTTGCATGCTGCTATCAGAAAAGCCATGCTCATCATATAAAATCAGGAAAAAATTAAAGAAGGGTAAAAAGTGTCTTAAGATACTGATTAGAAGATTATATGTGAATTCAGAAAGGGTGAACCAATTAGGGAGCGCCTTTGCGAACATCTGTACGTTCTACCAAATGCAGAAAAGAGTTGCTCTTTTGATATTGAAAAGAGAAAAAAAATAATAAATGCTAGAGATGATGAGTTCTGCAATCAGCTAAAATTGGTTTGTCATAAGACCAAAGTTTCACAGTTAAGATAGTTCTAAGAGAATTTTTAAGAGAATTCTAATCTATATTTCAACAACAAAGAGTAGCCTGGATGTGAAAATCAAAGTTAAGGTAAAATATTTTTAATAGAATGGTCTTACTTCTGAAAAACATTTCCCAGCCCTAATCCTTAGTGTGAAGAGTATGATAGTTTCATGTAAAAATGATTTTCAACTGAAAAATAAGATATTTGAAGATATATTTACAATTACATGAAGAAGATTATCTTTGTATATGTTAATAAAAGATCAGAACAGATGTGGATTGAATGAAACCATCAGTTAGCTATGAGAAAACTAAAATTAACCACATGCTTTTAGCTAACTTATAAAATGTCAAATAAAGAATAAAAGACCAGAATATTGGCATATCGAATATGTCACGGGTATCCTTTATCCCGGATAAAAAAATAATAAGGGTAAAAAAATATAAAATTGAGAGGAATAAATTGGGAAAAATTAAATTAATCAGTTATTATTTTGTTATTTTTTTGGTACTAAAACATTCATGACATAGAATTTTACTATTTTAGCTATTTTTATGCTGGTATTTCAGTTGACATAAAGTATATACATATTATGCAACTGCCACATTCACCAGGCATAGAGTGATAGCACAGCAGGTAGGGAATTTGCCTTGCACGTGACTGACCCAGATTCGATTCCTCTCTCCCTCTTGGAGAGCCTGGCAAACTACCAAGAGTATCCCATGGCACGGCAGAGCCTGGCAAGCTCCCTGTGGCGTATTTGATATGCCAAAAACAGTAACAAGTCTTTACAATGGAGACGTTACTGGTGCCCACTTGAAGTAATTGATGAACAACAGGAGGACAGTGTTACAGTGCCGCATTCACCACTTTGTATCACCAGACCTTCCATTATCCCAAACTGAAACCTTGTACCCCTAAAGAATATCTTCCTTTTCTCAGCTACAGTTCCTAATAAGCACTGTTCTGTTTTCTGACTCTATGGATTTGACAATTCTAGGTACTTCATATAAGTAGAATCATACAATATATATATATTAGACATTTGTGTTGGACATTTTTACTTAGCATAATGTCATAATGGTTCACCAGGTTATATTGGAATATTATTTCTTTTTAAGGATAAATATTGGGCAGAGCGATAGCACAGCGGGTAGGGAGTTTACCTTGCATGTGGCCGACCTGGGTTCAATTCCTCCATCCCTCTTGGAGAGCCCGGCAAGCTACCGAGAATATCCCACACACACAGCAGAACCTGGCAAGATCCCCGTAGCTTATTTGATATGCCAAAAACAGTAGTCTCACAATGGAGATGTTACTGGTGCCCGCTCGAGCAAATCGATGAACAATGGGAGGACAGTGCTAAGGTGCTAAGGATAAATAATATTTCATAGTATTCATATTCCGCATTTTGCTGGTGAAAGTGAAGATTGGGCTTTTCCAACTTTTTAAGTAAGTGCTAATATTGCTACTGGCTAGAGCGATAGCACAGCGGGTAGGGTGTTTGCCTTGCACGCGGCCAACCTGGGTTCGATTCCTCCCTCCCTCTCAGAGAGTTTGGCAAGCTACCGAGAGTATCCTGCCCGCACGACAAAGCCTGGCAAGCTACCTGTGATGCATTCGATATGCCAAACACAGTAACAAGAAGTCTCACAATGGAGATGCTACTGGGCCCACTCGAGCAAATCAGTGAACAAAGGGAAGACAGTGCTACAGTGCTAATACTGCTACTATGACCATATGTGGAAAATACCTGTTCTTAATCCCTGCTTTTAACTCTTTGGGTAAATGTCCCAAAGTGAAATTACTGGATCAGAGGATAATTTTGCGTTCAGTTTTCTTAAAGTGTCACTATGCTCATTGTCACAGGACCTGTGCTATTTTTCTTTCCTTCCTGCAAACATGTCTTCCCTTTTCTCTACATTCTTGCTAATAACACTTGTTATCTTTGAGTTTTTTAATGTAATAGCCATTCTGAGGCTTTTAGTGTGAGGTGGTATCTTACTGTCGTTATAATTTGAATTTTTCTTGGTGATTAGTGTCACTTGTATCACTTGTCATCCAGTTGATCTTCAGATTGCTCAAGTGGGCACCAGTAATGTCTCCATTCATTCCTGTCTTGTGCTAGTGTAGCCCAATGGCATCTGCTTGCTCCAGGAACACAGAGTCTCAAGGTTGTTCAGGGTTTTGATGAAGAAGTCTTGCCATCTTGTAGGTGGGAGGCCACGCGTTCTTTTGACATCTCGTGGAATCTAGTCGATAACAGCTCTAGTCCAGCGGTCCTGTCTAAATCTCATTATGTGTCCGGACCATCTGATTTTCAACGCCTTGGCAAATGAGAAAGCGTCCCTGATTCTTGATCATCCGAAAGAAGTCGGAACTCCGGATTCCTTCTCTCACTTGAGTGAAACGTGAATTCCAAGCATAGCTCTTTCGATTCCTCTTTGGGATACCTGAATAGCGTTTTCGTCCTGTTTTTGTAGGGCCCACGTCTCTGAGGCGTATGTTGGTGATTAGTAACATGGAGTATTTTTCTAGTGTACCTGTTGCTAAGAGTTTTTCT